CACTCCAGTCTGGGTGACAGAGTGAGACTCCAACTCAAAAAAAAAAAAAACAAAAGGAGGACTATTTAAAATGACCAGTATTGCTGGACGTGGTTATACATGTTCATAGTCCCAGCTACTTGGGAGGCTGAGGCAGCCCAGGAGTTCAAGGCTGTAGTGCTCTATAATTGCGCCTATGAATCGCCACTGTATGCCTGCCTGGATAACATAGCAAGACCCTGTCTCTTAAAATGTAATATACAATTAGCTGTATTCTTTTAAATTAATAGTGAAATATTATAGTGTTTCTTTAGTCAATTTGCATAAAATTATTTTTAAAATATAGTCATGATAAATGATATTTCTTTTTTTTTTTTTAAGTTGTAGTCTCACTCTGTCACCCAGACGGAGTGCAGTGGCCGCTCCCGGCCACCGCAGCCTCGACCTGCTGGGCTCCGGCGATCCTTCCACCTCAGCCTTCCGAGTAGCTGGAACTACAGGCATGTGCTACCACGCCCGGCTGATTTTTTGATTTATTGTAGAGATGAGGTCTCGCTGCCCAGGCGGGTCTCGAACCCCGTGGGCTCAGGCAATCCACTCACCTCAGCCTCCCAAAGGCGCAGGATTACAGGCTGAGCCACCGAGCCCGGCTAAATGATATTTCTCAGCTATCCACTTTAATATATTAGAAACAGGCTGAGCCACCGAGCCCGGCTAAATGATATTTCTCAGCTATCCACTTTAATATATTAGAAACATTTCTCGGCTAGGCACAGTGACTCAAGCCTATAATCCCAGTAGGCAAGAGGATTGCCTAAGCTCAGGGGTTCATGACCCGTGTGGACAACTTGGTGAGACCTCATCTCTACAATAAATCAAAAAATAAGCCAGGCATACACCTTTAGTTCCAACTACTCGGCAGGCTGAGGTGGAAGGATCACCTGAGCCCAGCAGGTCGAGGCCGCTGTGGTCGTGAGTGAGCCACTGCACTCCAGCCTGGGCAACAGAGTAAGACTCCAACTCAAAAAAAAAAGAAAAAGAAGCATTTCTATGTTTTATTGAGGCACTGCAATGGATGAAGAGTACTCCATTGGAATAGATGTTTCATAATTTATTTAATCTATTATTGAACATCTAGGTTTCTTCTAAAATTATTCTATTACAGTGTTACAGTGACATCCCTATTACTAAAGCTTTGCATACATCTTTTATTTCCTTAAGATGAATTTCTAAAACTAGAATTGTTGACTGAAAGTATAAATTACATGTTAAGGCTTTTACCACATAATGCCATAATCTTTTTTTTTTTTAATGTTAAGCCACTTTGAACTTCCACCAACAGTATATCAGTGTAGCTATTTTTCTCTTTTGATTTAACTTTATTGATCTCTTTAATTCGTAGCAGAAAGCTGAACTTTGTGATTCAAGATTCTTTGTCATATAGATTAAACTTCTCCCGTTTCTTTCAGAGGGAGCCCCTAACCTTGCTTCTGGGATCTGCCTCTTCTCTGATGATCCTGAATCTGATCCTTCTGAAGACAGAGCCTCAGAATCAGCTCATGTTTGCAGCATGCCATCCAAAACCTCTGTGTTAAAATTACCCCAATTTCAGGTTGCAGAATCTGCCGAGAGTTTAACTGCTGCTCATACTACTAAGACTGCTGAGTACAATGCAAGGGAAGAAACCATGAGCAAAGGGAAGCCAGAATTGACACCTTCAATGGATAGGGTCAACAAAAGAATATCCATGGTGGTATCAGGTTTGACCTCAAAAGAACTTGTGAGTGTATCCATGTTTCTCCCTAATGATGGAGACCTAACATAAATGCAGTTAATATAGGTACTGGCAACAAATAACCTATAGGAAGAAATCTAGGAAACAAGCGCCATTCTATATAATTTAATTTTTGAACATTTAGATCTAGATAAAGTTATAGTATAGATTATTTAATATGTATTTACTTGTGAAAATAATTATTAAATATTAGCAGAAAAGTTACACTTTTGGGTATGATATAGAAGTTTTAAATTTTAATTTTTGGCCAGGTGCAGTGGCTCAAGCCTATAATCCCAGCACTTTGGGAGGCCAAGGCAAGAAGATTGCCTGAGCTCAGGGGTTTGAGATCAGCCTGGGCAACTTGGTGAGACCTTGTCTCTACAATAAATCAAAAAATAAGCAAAGCTTGGTGGCACACGCCTGTAGTTCCAGCTACTTGGAAGGTTGAAGCAGAAAGATCACGTGAGCCCAGCATGTTGAGGCTGTGGTAGCAGAAAAACAAACAAAAAAATTTTTTATTTTATATACAAAAGCAAATAGGTGTAGCTTTACTCCCCAGAAGGCATCTTTTTCCCTCTTAGTTCACATCTGAGTGAACTTACCAGTATATTTAACTAAATCCAGACTGGTTCCAAAAGCATGCTGCTAGATAGTGGAATTTCTCCAGTGTTTGTTTGTCTATATCCTAGTTTATAAGACAGTTATTCACCAGCAGTGGCTCACACCTATAATCCTAGCACTTTGGGAAGCCGAGGTGAGAGGATTGCTTGAGCCCAGGCATTCAAGACCAGCCTGGGCAACTTGGCAAAACCTTATCTCTACAATAAAAAAGTCAGCCAGGTTAGCCAAGCTCGGTGGCTCAGCCTGTAATCCCGCGCCTTTGGGAGGCTGAGGTGAGTGGATTGCCTGAGCCCGCAGGTTCGAGACCTGCCTGGGCAGGGGAGA